ATTTATCAATACATAGCACAGTTAGGGTACTGATACTTCAGAGCCATGGTCGGGGCCATCGGCTCTAACTTGCACAAACCTCAGTCAGATAAAGGATCAATGAGTCAGGCAGACTGGACTAACATATTCAACTAAACAACCCCTCCACCCTGCACTCTCTCTGCTACTGGGCAATAGAGGGGGGGAGGCATTTTGGTCATTCTGATAACTAGAGGAAGGCCTCGCCCCTCATCCCCTCTCAAATTGCCTTCTGCCTTAAACAATAGGTTTGCATTGCTGTCTTAAAACAATAACTAGCTTGACCAATGCAGCCTCATTGAAATGAATGAGGAGGCTTTGTGCTTTTGGCAATACTTCCCCTTCCTATATGTTATTTTCCTTTGTTAAGTATCAGTATTATATGTTGCCTGTATCATCACATGGCTTATTTCAAACTATTCTAACCATTTCAGATTCTTTAGCAGTCCACCCTCTGCTTCTGCCATCATATTACAGAATCAACTGACTCTGTTTGGTGCCAAGTGTTCATTACTGGGATTTTATAGAAATTACTTGTGATGTGTCTTTGGAATTATTGCTATAAAGTTTAAGTTTAAAACTTGGTGATACTCAGCTTCTCTTCTAATTAGTTCTTCTAATTGTTAAGAGCACCAAAAGCTTCCCTGACAGCTGTGCCACTACTGTGTTTTATTGTTATATTAGTTTTAAAGAGCAGCAAAGCAAACATTAAACGGCATAAACAGAACTGCACTGAATTTGTGTGTATTTGTGTCTGTACTAATGGCACATAAATGAGACACCATTGTCACTTGTGGGTATGTGCAAATAAACCTGCTGTATATTATATTATGTGCAACTCCCACAACTTTAAAATAAGCCTTCCTGAAGGTTCAGTAACCATTAAAATACCCCTGAACAAAGATAGATAGATTTTAGTTTCCCAGTGTGAGTGGGAAAGCTGAACAGCAGTTAAAAAAGGCATTTTTCTTAATAGAACTGACCGATTCCTTTCATGGCTCTATGGAGGATTTCAGCATCGTGTTTGGCGTTGAAGTTGACGAAAGGTCTAACACTTCCTCTGTATGCCTGTAGGAAGAGAGCAACACAAATGAATGTTTAATACATTTAAAATACATTTTCTTTATTATTGTATGTATTAGCATACAGGTGTGTGCAAGTATGCATCTTTGTACACAGATAAAGAATCAAATGTACAAACACAAAACCATATACTCTCATATATTCTTTTGTGTTTATGCTGTAGAATTTAAGTCATACATATGATTGTACACCTGCATAATAATATTGTACATCTGTTTCATTTTTTTTTTCAAAATGTCCTGTGTTTTCACGTATGTGAAAATGTCATTTAAAGAAAAAGCAATAAAACGTCTGCCTCAGCTGCGCCCTCGTTCCAAACTCGCAGGTGGGAGAAATGCAAGATAATTGTCTCCCCCTCCTCTCAGTGTGAGTGTTTATTATTTCTTTTGTTGCTCATCTGTTTTCAAGAGAACACAAGGACGTTTACCTTGAAGTGTCACTTTAATACGCTACCGTCACAGCCTTGATCCTGTCTGCAGGCACCATGAAACTGAGCTTTAAATTGACACCACAGTCTCTCTTCATCAATGTTAGCTAGCAAAAGGTTTTTTTAGATAACATTGTGGCTCTAAGGATGGTAAAGTCAGCCCACCACATTGCTCCAAGCTGAAATCTCTTCACAACTATTGGATGACTTGTCATTAAATGTGGTACAGACATTTTAAGGTCCCCAAAGGATAAATCCCAATGACTCTTCATCTGGTGCCACCAGCAGGTCAAAGGTTTCACTTAGCCAGTGAAAAAGATGGATTATCTTCTCATCTACCACCGCCATAAAGTTAACGTTTCTGGTTCAGAGTGAGATATCTCAACAACTATTGGATGGATTACCATGAAATATGGTAAAGATATCCATGGTCCTGAGAGAACTGATCTCACAGATATTAATGATCCTTTGACTACTCGCCTAGCTCCATCGTCGTTATAATTTCAATCGGTCCAAACTTGGTTTATTGCCAATTGCCTGTAAAACTAATGGCATTCCCACCAGCTTCAACTTTACTTTGTATTCAGTGCTAATTAGCCAGTGCTAACACGCTAAACTAAGATAGTGAACAAAGTAAATCTGTTCATTGTTTATTTCCTGCTGGACAAAAGATGTCTCCTACTTCACTGTACAGTCCATTATTAGTGTATGTGCACTGGTCACTTCAAGTTTCTACATCACATTTGTGTAAATAGCATACTGAACCAAGATAGACTTTCATTTTAAATTCCAAATCATGCTTGTATACCCTACCCCTTAAAACTTTCCACTTTCAGCAGATGAATATTAAAACATGCTTCTGGTTTCATGCACACATACATGTACATACATCATTCTGCACAGTGAAACTCAAACATCCAACTATAGGAACAAGAAAAAACACGAGTAAAGGGGGACATAAGAGTAGGCCTATGGATACATGTCAGCCATCAGTCAGTGCTAAGCTCACAGTTTGGCTGTTTTGTTCCTCTTCAGTGCCATCAGGGAGCATTGTCTCGTCCTCTGATGTAATTGTAACCAAGTGGGGATACAAATAGACAAACGTACCTGCAGTTTCCATGCACGTGGTAATACAATATGGTACAAATTAGACCGCCGTCATCAACTGAAACTGAGTTCTTGCCATCACTTTACGTCTTAAATCAACTCATCCTCATCAGACAGTCTGAGGTCTCTCAACAAGCTAGAGAGGATAAAATCAAATCAAGGGTATCAAATGAAGCTGCTCCTTCGCTTTTCGTGCCAACGTGAGTATACTACACGAATCGCACTAATGTTTTACTAATGAGTGCGTCTTCACAGAAAGTCCTTTCAGTGAATTAGGGATCATCCAGAAGTCAGGGTGTCTCTAGACATCAAATTGTCACAGTATAGAAAAGATAATGAAAAAATTAAGATCCATTGAAATGAAAATTCAGTCAAATTAATGGAAAGAAAAAGCATCTAGGGTTGCATGCAAATCAAGAGCTGGTGCTGACAGTTATTTGTGATGTGCATTGTTTTAGACTGATCATGCACTACAGATCTTGTAAGGCTTGAAAAGGTACTGACCTTTCAAGAGTTAAGATACACTTCATCACACAAAAACATATAGGTTAGTGCTGGCGCTGTGGCTCAACCACACAAGTCTTAATTCCAGCTGTGCAAAACAAGGTTGATTCTTGGCAATTCTCATAGCATTTACCACACTGACTACCATATTTAATTTAACAGAAAATAAAACCAAAAAAGGAAATAGTTACCATCCTTTTTGCTGATGGAAGACAGTTGTAGACTGAAAGAAAGTGGAGCAGATGACAAAATCCTGATTAAAACAGGCAGTGTTAATGTGCCTAAAAACGATTACAACTGTGTAGGTATCAACACAAGCAGAATAAGTAAGTGTGTGTTCTTACCAACAGGCGTGTTCTCCTCACAGGTGATCCGTGGCTCAGGTACAAGCTCTTTATTTTCTGCCCCCTAGAACTCCTCCTGACTCCATTCAGGCTGCAGCGTCACCGGGGAAAGCTGACAATAAGCACTTCCTCATCCGCGTGCAGTGTTGTGTTTCACTCACTTGTCAGTCAAATCGGAGATCATGACCTCATGTATGCTGCTTTGTGGGACCTTCAAGTGACGAGGAGTTAAACGGTCGTCTAAAAGTGTGAGTGTCCAGAAGGTTCTGGAGGGTTGTTGTTACGGTGGAGGCTAATTTAGAGAAGTTGTTATACCTTCCAGAAGTGTTTCTCATATATCAAATTACATTTAAACAGACATTTTTTTCCACAGAGATTATCCCCTTCTGTTTAGTTTCGCTTAAGTTTCTTTGCAAATAATAATTCTTGATAAAAGTACAGGAAGCATTAACTGCACCGATGAAAAGTTTTGACTATGATGAAGTATTTGAACCTCAAATACGTTTTGTATATGAAATCCAAATGTGTAAAATAACTATAAGTGTTGAATAAATGTAGTGAAGTAAAAATACAATACTCCTTTTTTAATTGTAGAGTAAAGTGGAAGGCAATGGAAATACTTGAGTAAAGTACCTCAAATGTGTATGGAAATGTACCTTCCACCTGCTTTGGAACATAAGCCCACGATTACTTCAGTGTCATGGATCAAGAGAATCAGAGAGGTTGTAATTATCTTGAATCAAAAAATCATATTGGATTTACTTAATTTAACATGTTATTTTTAATTAGATGGCTTTTCTATTTGGCCCTCTATATCATTTGCTTTATGTTTCACATTCTACAGTTCTGACGATAACATGTTTTCAAGCCTGGTTAATTTAAGGTACACGTATGTTATGGCAAACAGGAGACAAACAGGAGATGCTTGATGCCTGATAGGAGCGAAGGGATCAGCAGAGCGAAGCGCCGGGGAGCAGCTCACATATCATCAGTGCTGTCCTCGTCCCTGCAAACCTTAATTAAAGTGAGCACTTGTGAGAAGATGAGAGTGTGAACACCATCTCTCAGGTTATCCAGTTACGGAGGCTCGTCATTTCATCTCACAGCCTCCCAGACTGACATGGAGCCACAATTCCTTTAATTGCAAATGAACAAGCATCTAATAATACCCTTATCAGATTCAATGGAGAATGGAGATCCACATAACTTTTTTTTTTCTACAAGTGTCAATATTAAATGGCAGTGTCAGTTAAATATTCAATACCACAGATCTGTCCAAATATAAGCTACGAGAACAACATTTTTATTTCAAGCTAAGTATTCCCTACTTTAGCTACATGTCTTAGTACAGGATAAGACATTAAAGACCCTGAAAAACAATTTTCTCACTCAGTTTTAAACTAAGAGCAATGGGATTCTGTATGAGTGAAGATTTTATTCCAAGCTTTGATCTGTTTAGAAGATGAAGAAAATGAAGATATATACTTTATTAATCTCCTATTGGGGAAATTCTTCTTTTCCTCCCCTTTTTTATCCTTACACACACACACACACACACACACCAGGCTGATAATACACAGCTTCATGCACTTGTGGGACATGCAACTGGGAGGGAGATGGCGTGATGGGCTCGCCACGTTAGCGCACCCATGAGCAGTTTCTTGGGTTAGGTTGCCTTTGCTCAAGGGGCGCCTCGGCAGTGCACAGGAGGTGAAACTGCACCTCTAATACTACCTGTCCACACTCCATATTGTGGTCTGTGGGATTTGAACCAGCAACTCTCCGGTTCCCAAGCCGAGTCCCTACACACTGAGCTTTTTTTTCCTCCTCGCTTTTCTTACTGATTTGAAGTGGGTGGGGCTCAGTTGGATAAAAACAATGTCATCTACTTCTGTGCACTAATGAGAGAATTAAACTGTGATGACAGCTGCGGGGTTTTTTTGTCACCATGAAATGGAAAGCAGAAGGCTATTTGCTATTTGTGTATATTTACGTTTTTTCCTGTAGAAACAGGCAGCTAGGAAGGCAGTTGTCGCAATAGCCAATAATGCTGAATGAGTGTTAGCAGTCGTATTAGCTGACTGCTGAACAGCACGGACAGAGTGGGACCAAACACAGCATCTGAGGTTGTGTGTCAGTTTGATGACGGGGAATACAGTAAAGAGTCAGTTTTCTTGTCAGGTAGAAATGGTAGTAATGTAAGCTGAGCCGAACGGCGTCTAACATTACAGTTAGTAGCAGTTAACTACTTTAGAAAGTCTATTGGGAAATTCCAGGAATTACCTCTGTACCACTGTTGTCAAACTGTCCTCCTTCTGTTTGGTTTTCTTCGTCCCGGTTTGGTTCTGTAGCACGCTAACGATATCTACAGCAACAGTTGAGGCAGAGCAATCAGAGGAAAAAACATATATATAATTAATATTTTCCCCATAAAGTATGATCCAGTTTCACCCAAATCAGTGATAACGTTGTGTTTACAGTAATCACTGAGGCCCAGCCCCTTGAACCACTCTGCTCTGTGCTAATGAATTAGCTTTGTGTCACTGATATCCCAGTCTGTGACATTTAGGAGGATCTACTGGCAGAAATGGAATATAATATTAACTTAAAATCACATGAAAACAAGAATGATTATGTTTTTTTTACCTTAGAATGAGCCTTTTATTCCCCAGGTTGCCTTCCAAGAAGTACCACCACATTGAACCGACATGTTTCTACAGTAGCCCCCGAAGAGACATAATATAGCATTAGTTTTTACAACATTAAGGTTTAACAAAGTTCTTAGAGGCTTTAAAATTGAACCTAATATTTCAGAGTTTCATAACACTGGCAGAAATTGGAGGGATGATTTCGCTATAATAACAACATTACATTGATTGGCTCATTGCGGACACTATAACAAATGCCATGTACAATTACTGTTGTCTTGTAAACTCAAAGTTGAGTAAAATGTTAATACATTTTAATTAGATGTGAAGACTTTACACATTATATTAACAGTGCAAACCATTACAATAAATCCTACAATTTCACGACAACTGGGCAAACTCTATTGGCTGAGGAAGATCATGTGCTATGACCCAAAGCTCTAGAGAACAACCACTGAATGGACCTTGAGATGAGATTTTGTCAACTGCAGTTAAACTTTTCACCTGAAAATAAAATTTGAACACTTATAACAAGTTATATGAGCCAAATCAGTGAGATTGCAAACTGCTGACTGCTGCTTTCACTTCCCACTATCATCAGTTGTCACTTTCCAAACTGAATCACAGTGAGATTTTCATTCATGAGAAGAGCACCATGGGACAGCGTGAAATACACAGCTCAGTTTGTAAGGTGCTGACTGACAGACAATAAGCTCTATCATCAGTCAGAGCCTCCCCAGCCACCACCGATCGGCTCTGTTTGCAATCTTCCTCTGTGCTCAGGGCAGCTGCTCACAAATGCAAATGGCTCCGTTTTTAACAAATATTACCTGGCCTCGTGGAGCTTTTCAGAGCGTCCACGTTTTGTTGGAACACCCTTTGTGTTTTCTAATGGGTAACTGTCCATGGATCTGATGTGAAGAACCAGCATCAGACTGAGAGACAGTGGTTTCATCATCCTGTCATTCTGTGGCCAGTTTGAAAGGGCGTCACTCATAACTGTCAGATACGAACGATACTTCAAAACATAAGTGACAACGAAATGAGTTCACAATATTAGCTGCACCAACAATGACTACTTGGAGTTCGAAAGGAAGTGAGCTAGCTAGCTTAACTGCCCCTCAGCTACTTCAGACTAGGTTCTAGTAGGCTACGTAACAAACACTTTATGTTTGGAGCTACAGAAAGCTGGATTCATTTACTTTGATTTACTGCTGTTAGATGAGAAGATTGATACCAGTTTCATATTTGTGCGCTAGTCTAGTGTATGGAACTAGAACCAGCTGGGAATTATTTTTGTTTAATTAGCATAGTTAGCATAGATTGGAAACAGGGGAAACAGACTCTGTCCAATGGTAAAACAGTACTTTCAGTCCTAAACCAAACAATCTTCTGGTTTTACACCTACACGACTGAAGGGACAAATGTGAGTGTGGTATCAATGGACCTTTTTCACAGCAGCCATTTTGACATGAAAGCCATTTTCCTTTAAAACTATATATAAAATTGAGCAACTTCACAGCTGATCCTTTCACATTATATATAAGTGATATTCTGTTTTCACAAGGTTCAAAACAGCCAGTATTGGAATAAAGGCCTATCATGAGTTAATATTTTCTTCTCTTGGTCAGAGGCAGTTTTTTGTTTTTTTTTACCTTGACTTATATGTTATTATCTCCAGGTGTTTTTGTCTTTTCTTTACCAGTCCTCTCTGAAAAATACAACCAGAGGCCTAGAAAATGGACACAGAATATGAGACATATTTCTGTAGTTCTCATCCACAACATTCTCTATCCTCATCTCTTACCATATCTCCTCTTTTCTTGACAACAATCTCCCTCTGCCTGTAGGATGAATTCAGCAGGGATCTACAAGGCAGAGGATACTGGCTCAGGGGCTGTTACAACTGCTTTCATGTCCATCCTTCTCAGAGACTAAATGGCTGTTTCTACTGTATTAGAGGATTGAGAGGCCACAGATGGCCACGCAGTGCCAGAGGACATATTTCAGCTCAGCGCCAGAGGTGAAAAACCATGGGAGCCATGGGATCTATCCATGATGTCAGACCTCATTAATCTATAGGCGTCTCGCTAAAAGGAGCAGACTGGCAAACTGTTTAGTTTGAAATAACCAATTCAGACCTTTTGAAAAGAAGTCTCCAAAGATTTCCTGGTTTGAAATATTGCAGACAGTTAAGCGATTTCAGAGCAACCATGTCTCAGAGCAAATGTTTACTGGAATAATTTAACATTTCACTTTCTTGCTAAGAATTGGATGAGAAGACTGACCCATAAGACCTATAATGTTTGTATACTAAAAATATAGGTAGAGCCAGCAGCTGGTTAGCTTAGCTTACCACAAAAACTAGAAACGATGGCGCTAGCCTTGCCTTGCCTGAAGCTAACAAAATTAGCAAATAGTCGTTTTTACACTTGGAGACTTGTTAGTGAGCATTGGTTAGATGGAGTTTGTTACCTTTGGACAGAGCAAAGCTAGCTGTTTCCCCACGTTCCCAGTCTTTATGCTAAGCTATGCTGATCGGCTGTTGACAACAACTTCACATTTATTGCACAGACATGAGAGTGGTATGAATCTCATTATCTAATTCTTGACAAGAGAATTAGACATTGTTTCCCAAAATGTCGAACTATTGTTTTAAAGGACCAGTGTGGCATCTAGTGGTGTAGATTGCAGACTGCAACCCCCTCGCCTCACTATTGTATTCTAAACATGTAGGAGAAACTACAGGGGCTGCAAACCTCGGGAAAAACATGACAGGCCCTATCTAGAGCCAGTGTTTGGTTTGTCTGCTCTAGGCTACTGTAGAAGCATGGCGGTTCAACATGATGGACTCCGTAGAAGAGATCCCCCCCGTCCTTCTTTGGATAAAAACAGCTCATTCTAAGGTAACGAAAACACAACTTATCTTATTTTCAGGTGATTATACACTAATGAAAGCATACTATTATATTCCATTTCTGCCAATAGCCCCTCCTTAATGTTACGTACTAGACCTTTAACAGAAGCCACAATTGATGCTGCCAAATAAATCAATTAAACACATTACATAAAACAGGGAAAAAATATATTGTGGAACTCATTTAATTGTTTTGATCGAAGATAATTTCTTCCCACGTAGAAACGTGCCAGTGGCTAGACCCTTTGAGAAATGTTAACCACAAAGAGGAATCACACAGAAGCACTGAACCATGGGTGTTTGTGTTTTTGTGCTGCCGTATGAGGAAATCACCTTTCGTGTAATTAACACCCCCCTAGGCGAATGGCTATTGATTCGTCTGAGACTACCTAATAAAAGACCGCCAAGCCACCTCTGACTAATTGTTGAGGGAAAAATAAAAATAAAACATGTAAAGACTAAAGAGTTATACCAAGTCATAAGTTAGAAGTGTCAAATGCCTCTGCCTATGTATAGTAAACACCTGAGAAATATCAAACAGTATTAAGCCTGTGGGATCTTGCCGCAAGGGTCTCATTTACTTTGCCCTGACACGGACACAGGAGTTGAGAAACCTTGTGGCACACAGCTCCTTTATTTTTCATTGGCGGCATATTCTCAATATCCCTCCTGCCAATTCACCAATAAGATGAGAGGGGTGCAAATTGCCTTCCTGAATGCATTGCTTTAATCAGCTCGAATCAAGATGCAGATTTAATCTTGCCTTGTGTTTTTAGTCGGCAATTTAGATGTTTGAGCTCCGCTGTGTACATTCATCTAAGAGAAGAAAAGAAATAGCATAAGTAATTTTATTGAGTCAGACAATAAGACTCCCTACTTTGAGAGATAATGTTGTAGACACATATTAAGCTATTAAAAGAATAGACAGTAGTTTCTATGAATAAAAACATGAACAGGTTTTATTTTTTTGTGAGGGAATATAAGCACTTGAGTCGAAAACAAGTCATTTTCTTACATGAATCTGCAAGGCACATTCAACAAGCCTCAGTCCTGGCAGTGTTTTGGAAGAACTGTCCCATTTCTCACAACACTTGCTGAAGCCTCTGTTCAAAGCAAGGCTGTCTGAAAGAGCGGACAGGCTGCAGCATGGATTTTCCCACAGAGTTCCTCAGCTGCTTGAGGAGCATCCAGAGAAGAAGCATCATGAGGGTCAGGAGTCCGAGGAGAATCCCCACGTACAAGCTCAGGTTCCAGCCCCAGCCCAGTGCCATGGGCAGCGAGGTGGACGCCACCAGAAATTTCCTGGGGGCAGGCATGGGTTAGGCAGCAACCCGCCCTCCCCACCTCTTCCAAAAATGCTTTTTTCCTCACACTTGGATCTTCCTCAGGGGTTAGACAGATGCTGTGCTGTAGCCATAGGAGCCATTGCTTAAACAAGTATCCAACTGGTTTGGCTATGTTATAGAATTCCCATCTGTTCCCATGGTTTAATCCTCTAGTTAGTCACAAGTGTGTGCAGTCAGTGACAAAGCAGACCTGTTGACAGTGTGAACATGAGCTGTCCATTCTCCTGAGATGAAATGGTGGAAATCTTTCTGCAGCTGGGCTGTGCTTCCCCTCTCCTGTTAGACTCCTCGCATAAAGCCAGCCTCCAAATTTATCATGAGAGAGAGAGAGGAGGAGAGCGAGAGATGCCTTCTAGCTGCATTTGCTTCACTTTCAGAAATTGACTGTTTGAAATTAAATCAATGAATAAGAAGTAAAAATCACCCATCCCATTGTCATCTAATTAATTATGTGCAGACAGAAAAAAAAAGGACACGTTTGCCATGCTTGTCTTTATATTTCAATCTCCCTATATACTCATATTGGATTCAGTATTCCAGTTTTAAAGGTCCAGTATGCAACATGGAGGATATATCTAGAATATAGTTATGTTTTAATTACTGTATAATATGAAAATTGTTACCTTAGAATTAACTTTTTATATCTACAGACATCATGGTCTCCTTCCATGTGTCTACAGGAGCCTAGGACAGACAAAATCCAACATCGGTAAGTATTGCAGTGTAGTTTATCTTCCATGCTTTGAAAGTGAGGGTGAAACAAGAGTTGCTGTCTGTAACTGCCAGATATGACAAACCTACACACTGGTTCTTTAACAATCCACAGTATCTTAGGTAATTTTGGAAACTACACTGTCAACATTTGCTTTCATTTGTGTTCGTTTAAAATGTACTCATGTGGATCTCTGGCAACCCCTTTCCCCATTTATTTGTGCTGATGATATGCTTAACATCTTGTGGAAAAAATGCAGAAAATTGCTCATGTCAAGCGACTATTTTAGAGCAAATAACAGGTGGTGTTTTTCATGACATGAAACTGACTTTAGGATCCCAACCATGTAATACTCCAAATTACCAGTGTCCTTTTTGCCATCAAGCTTTAGCCCTTGATCAGCCATAGCTCATATAAAACCTTGTGTTGAGCAATTACATGCACATAAGGCAAAGCACCCAGGCTTTAAATTAACTAAGCTTAACAGTGTAGAACCATTTGACCCCTAGTTAAATTGTACATTTAGTTTCACCAGCCCTCACCGTTTTACCATTTGTTAAGAGTTTTACTGTATCTTAGGAAACCCCACTGACTAAGGTGGTCCTCTGCTGCCCCCATGAGTACAATGATCATAGAGATATAGAAGTCTCACTTTAAATGCATTTTATTTACAAGAGCCATATTTTACAGTGCAGGAGATGTCTTGAAAAGCTTTAAGCTTCCAAGACACCAATGTAATGAGACAGCTGACTCCATGACAGACAAACACTTTAATTGGCATCCCATGAAGCCAAATAGCTTGAGGTGAACCAGCAACAATAGCTGCTTAGAACACAAACCCTTAAAAAGTGGAAGTATTAAAGATCAGGGTTTGATTACATTCAAGTCTATTGGAGTTTGGGACACTGGATCAAAGCAGAATGTTTACAGAGTGGTGATAAGATGTCTACATTTGGTCTGAGATTAAAAGTCAAACCATTAAAACTGCTTGATTAACCAACACAACTGTAGCATCTGTATAAATGCGTATATAAAAATACCATTAAAAACTCTAAACATCTAGCTCTACTCCAAGAAGAGCAGGCCATGTCACTTGAAATTGTGGCACACATCATTCAAGACAAAAAATTAAAAAAAAAAACATTAAAGACTGTTACAACTCTACATGGACAATGGGGGTCAGTTTAGCAGCAGTTTAGTTGGAGTGTCAATGAGGGCGACTTGATGGTACCTGGAAAAGAAACCACATCTTAGAACATTTAACAGACTGCATAAAAAAGCAAAGTGACTAAACATTCAGTTGTGAAAAATAAGCAAAAGCCATTTTAGGTCCAATCAGTCTACTTACTTGGGGCCCTTGTACTTCTCCCGAACAGACTGCTGGGCATGCTGAGCAGCATTGAGGTAAAGTTTGTGCAGATCCTCAACGCATGGCATCAGATCTTCCTGGGAGTAGCCAGTCATCTCCATCATGGACTTTGGCTGAGGAGATAACTGAGTCATTGTTTTTCCCCCACACACACACACTTTAGGAAACTGGACTGTTACTCCAACAACGAGGTGTGCACAAATAGAATCAGGGGATAAAACACATTTGACTTTAGTAAAAACAAAGGGCTCCTTTAGACTGCAACTTCACTTACCCATGAGCCACCAGTCACTACATTGTTGGCTAGGATGTAGGCTGCAGCAGCTGTGTGTGATGGCAGGTACTTCAAGAAGGGATCTGAATCAACCAGACTGAGCTCCCCGAGGTACTGAGAAGATATAAAAGAGAGTGAGCTACATGCACCTCAAAGTTATTGAGCAGAGATTCTTTGCCATGTTGGCTATAAAATGCTTTGGTACAGGTGTATGCCAAGTGGCATAGCCAAATGTGTTAATGATTTGCAATATTGCTCCAGGCTCACCATTGCCAGACTTTCCACCTGTTTGTTAACCGAGTGGTGGAGGAAGTAGTGGGTGAGAAACTGGTTGATGGTTGGTGCTGCCAGATCAAAGGAGAGCACCTTAAGCACCAAATGCTCCATTCTTAACACCTGCTTCTTCGTGTAGGTGTCGTCTGTGATGTAAACAAACTCTGCCACCTCAGGGGGGTAGATCTCTTCAAATTTCCTGCATTTGAACATTTAAATAGTCAGTTGAGGCAAACGCAAAGTGAATTTAAATACATTTTAACAAGTGTAAAATAAACCTACGATGCCAACAGCATGGCAGCAGTCCCGACCAGCTGAAGCTTCCCCCTCAGGACAGACATGGACGAGAGGAAGCGATCGATGTAGTTTACAGCCAGATAAAGTGTCTCGTTCTGGAGCTTGTACTCTTCTCCAACCTCAACCAGCCAGTCCACCAGGATGGCCCTCATGCTGTTTGTGATATCGGGTTGCTTCTTCATGTAGCCTGCTTTAGGCCTGGTTTTTACCTGTGGAGCAACACAAGTGTGTTACTTAGGATGCTACAGGAAGTTGAAAATTCAGATAACTGCACTTGTTGACAGGCCTCATAAACCTAACCCATGAGAAACAGCAGAAAATCTTAGAGGCAGAGACACTTGTCACACTTCATCAAATCAATTCCTCACCTCCATTTCCCGCAGGTATGTGTGGATTTCAGCAGCATATTCTGGGACCTCATTTACATTGACCGGTTTCTCCTCCCCCTCAACCACAGACATGTCCATGGGAGAGTCTGAGCAAAGAAAAGTTTAACATTTAGAGTAGTGAAGATGTTTATGAACAGTGAAAGCAACTAAACATCTGTCAGCTGTAGTTTCTATAAATTGTAGTTTTGAATTTGAGGACTTGGAAGTGTCTGATGACCGATAGGTGTAAAGAACAATCTGAAATGTTGCATTTACAACTCACCAAAGCTGACATCCATTGCCGATGGCATGTCAATGGTGGCCAGGGGCTGTCGGAGCCTTGCCACAGCATTGTCGATGGTGAGGGGAGACTCCGCAGCGACTGACTTTGCTTTGACAGCTTCGACCGCCTGCTGAGGCTTCTTGGTGCAAGCGCCATCGGGCTCGTCCACATGGATCTGGAAAGCGGGCTGCTTGGAGGAGGGCTTCTCATAGCAGCTTTTGCTGAAGTCTTCATTTTTACAGGACAAGGTCTGGGATGACTCCTAGACAGCAAACAGGCAGTTCAGATCTTTGCCCCATGGGGGGAGGGGGTGCTTTTTGCAGCAAGGCAATATAAAGACATACAATGAGGCGATTAGAAGTTCTTTACTATACAGACACTACAGAACACAATTTGGTTCATGTGATTACAGCAGCAACAGCATGGGATAATATAGTGGCAACTTGTGCAGGGAACAGAGGGAATTTATTATGTTAAGAGCAATAATTGCTCAAGAAAACAAAAGTAAAACCTTTAATCTGTTGCACTCCATATCAGTAACCTGCCTCTTTATAGAGTCAGCACTTGTGTTTGATGCAGTACTAGGGAAGGGGAGAGAAACTCAGAGAATTTATTATATTAATTTAAAACATACTGCAAGCCCGTAGGTTTCCTAACCAAAGTAGATGCATAAAAGTATGAAATATATCACCAACTTAATGAGGCCATTAAAATGGCGGACAGCTGGTAACAGGCGTAGCTACAGCTGTAATTAAAATCTGCCAGTTCGTAAGAAAGGAAAAATGCTAGTTAAGTGTCAGTAAAGCCCGACATGCGACTAACATTAACTGGCAAGATAACTTAAGTTAGTTGCCTCCAAAACCTACAACGGCACCCATCGTAACGACAGACACTAGCAGGCAGTAGCTGCAGCTAGGCGAGCCTTTAGCCTCGTTACCCGGACTCACCTGCTTTGTGCCGCGGTGGTTCTGGGCTTTGCTCCGCTGGTTGTTCTGCAGGGGGCCCAGGACGGTTCTGCTGCCTGCCGGTTTCGGTGGATGGTTTTCTTGGTTGTCGTTTGAAGGAGCTCGGGGTTTTAGCGAGCCTCTCAGTCTTGACAGCACATTTTCTTGGTTGTGGTACTCACTCGCCGCGCTTCCCTGTCCTCTGTTAACTCCTGACATGTTTGCCTCGAACAATAAGTCCAACCTGCCTCCGTTTGCTATCAAGATACGACAGCTGCTGCGTGCTCTTGTGCAGTGGGAAGTGTGTCGAGAATGAGTTTAGATTCAAAAGATCGCGTAGGGACAGTTACAACGAGGCTAGCGTTAGCTGCTAACTTGCTGAGGAAGGTGAAACAAGCGCTCACAATCAAAACTAAGCTGTTGAGATGGCAACGACACTTAGAACTGCAACGTTAAAACAAAGCAGATCAAAACAAACAACGCACAACTGGCGGTACAATGTTTACAGCGTGTAAAGCGTGTTTCTAAGTCGCCATACTCGTGAGTTGCTCAATTGCTACCAACCTGCAAACAAGAGCGCTAGCCTCGGTCCATTTACTCTGAGTCGTGTAGAGATGTTGCTTTCTCTCCGTTCAAGTAGCCCGCGAGGATTGAAACGGGCCAATCACAGGGCGCCCAGGCAGTGACGCGTAGAGTTGTACGGGAGCCGAAAGAGTACAATTCGCTTAATTACAAATTTAAAACCGGTTTGACACATTTGAACGTATGGACAAACGTTATAGGAGTAACAGCTGTGGGATACTGTCCGCCAGTGCAGACAATACAAAGACATGTCCTCTGCTCCTGTCATTGATTATTTGACATAGACACATTGTTGGCAATACAACATATATAACAATATAACATTGGTTATTTGGTGATTGTTTGACTTATGATGGCCAGACACTATTTTTTTCATTTGTTTCTATCAGTGGACGATTTCAGCTCCTTCACTTTAGTAAAAGTAGCAATAACATAAAAATAATACTTTGCAAGTTTTGTACAGAAAATATTACTTAATTACTATTAAGTATTGCCAGCATATAACATATATAAAATCTACATGGATCCTGTGGGTGCTATATTATCATGTTTGCTTATTTTGAGTGATGCATTAACATTCAGGCATGTAGTTGGTGGGGTTAATTTTTACAGCTTCATGTAGGACTGTTTGATGTTTAAATCTTTAACACTGCATCATATTTGTTAAACTATAGCTGTCAAATAAATGTAATGGAGTAAATAATGAATAAAATATATAACCTCAGAAATTGTATGAGTAACTTTAATTCAGTTACAGTGCTATAGTACCTTATCTTTGGTACTTGGTGTTCCTAAATTGTAAAGTGTCACGAGGATAGAAATATTAGGATTAAAACAAGTATGATAGTTTATTTATTGACTTATTAATTCACAAATCAACAGATTGCAGACGTCATTATTTAATGCATGAGACTTAAGTGTGTTGTGTTCAACATTTGTCACATATGATCTTGGTATTATACAACATTTCTTTGTATTTGTTCACCATACTTTCCATCTCTTGAATGATGAATCCTACAATGGTTACAAATAAGCTGTAATTTTTATTTCAAGAGGAGGAACTCACAGTCTATGGTAATCATAATATATAAACATACATTATGTGTGCTTTTAACTAACCTTATATTTGGTCACTGAAACTCAACCAAAGCTTAGCCACTAATAAAAAAAGGAACCTCCACTATTCTAGTAACCTTACTGTGGTTTATTAACCACCACTCTTGTTTTTAGATGCTATCAAAAGACATAGTGAATATTTAAATATTGCACAACACAGAACAAACAGACAGTATCTAAATGACAGTATGGCGATATGACAAACACTGCTAGTAACTATCATAAAACAAAACGTTTGTATTTACAATACAAAAAAAGACCCTCAAAGACAATAAATAAATACCCTCTCATCTACCTGATATCATACCTCGTTGAAAAAGTTTAACAGAGAATTCAAGTCATAATTATCGAGTATCTCCAGCAATGAGGACACCTTGGTTTTTACATTCTGGCCTTTGAACTTGAATTTATCAATGAAGAGATCTGTGATCATTCCTACAGGAAAGAAAAAGAGAAAAAATATTAGTTGCCAACAAGCTCTATGTCATAATGTCATACTCATATAACAAAACTTGACTTCTGGGTAACAGTAATCCTGTCTCACAGTGTTAGATCAAATGTATGAAATACAGTGATTATGTTGCACCATAAAGCCGCTCAAGGTGCGCCGGCTGCTTCTTGTACTCCTCGAGGAGATTAGCGGAATCATCCAAGATGTTGCGATACTCTGGGATGAGGAAGTCAGCGTTCCCCTCATGGACCTGAAGCTCCTGCCATCCAAAGAGAGGAAGTGGAGCCGAGGTGAGTGAGTGATAAACATAAGCATCTCCCAAAAAGCCTGTCAACAGCCCCGAGAGGATGGGTGTGGACATGTGGACATACACAGTGACTGTATTAATAAAACTTAAGGTGTTTTTTCCTGTAAGACGACAGATTTAACCAATACTTGCTTTGAGTGCATCGATAAGCTGAATCTTTCTGGCCAACAACAGCTGGTACTCCAGCTTAGGATGTATCATCTTCAGGGTGTGGCTCACAGAGTCATCATTAATATCTGGAAGAATAATAACACAAATAAAAGAGAATTATAAGAGTTTAATTTACTAGAGATTAGTCCCTGGAAGGATTGTGTCAGGAGACACTGAAGATGAATAATAATACACCTACCATATGACATGTTCAGATTGATTTTTCTCTTGGTAGCTTCTTTAGAGAGAACATCACTCAGTATGGAGATGGTAGAGATGTTGTCTGACCGGAAGTGACCCTCCCCTTTGCTAAAATTACATATTCAGAAAAAAAACATGTTTGATTCCAAGTAGATTATAATAACACAAATCCACACTGAAACTGTAAAAATAACAAATAAAACACTCAGACAGGATATGAAATGATATAACCATTTGTCAGTTTTCTTATAATCTTCATAGAGTCATATGCAGCCCTAGAAAAGCTACTGTGTGCCAGTAATCACCAGTAGGTGGCTTCAAGCTGTGTCCCAAGAAAAGTGTTGTGGAAATAGAAAGTGATGCTCTCTCCTGCTGGTGTTTTCTCAGGCACCTCTGGCAAACAGAAGACCACCCAGGAGTGGATCTCAGCAAAACTGAACTGCCCCACCAGACTGAGCCTGTTCATGGGCCTGTATGACAGACAGAGATTTTAAAGGTCAAACTCATGACTGAAAAGCTGATAGAAGATAACAATGTCATGCAAATTTCATGTTACTGCTATTGGCACAACAACATTAAAAATATATATATTTTTATTACAAATGATTCCAAACTAAACATAGATCCTGTTGGCTTTCATTATTAAAAGGACTTTCAAGGTTTCCTTTGATAAAATATTTTTTTTATTGGCTGTTTTACTTATAATGCCTATTATGCTTTCAAATCAACTTGAATCCACAGTTCTAGTAACCTGGTAAATTTAGCAAAACTCTGACGTGGGCATCCATGTCTGAAATCAGGCTCCCCTTCCATTGACCTTAACCTCATTTTGTGCATCAACACTACCAAACCTTTGCAGTGGAGTTTGGAAAACACAGGAACGAGAAATGAGAAAGCTTCAAGATAAGATTTGATGACTGAATTCAAATTCTATTCTGAACGATTTACCTGTCTTGGTCTATGCTGTGTGTCCGCTGGTGGAGGGACAGAGGTTTAATCTGGTACTGGCGGACCTGGCATGTCTTCGGTTGCAGTCTGGGGGTAATGTAAGCCTGCAGGGTCCCATACTGTCCCTCGATGGACCTCACCTAGGACAGCATTTATTATGGATGATACACATTATTGTTCTGCAGTGCATCGTTATAATAGTTTGAGCAAATGGAATGGGTGGCTATGTTTATGTTTCTGCTTCAGGTAAAGTGATTGATGCAAGGAGCATAAGACAGAGCTGTCTGTGTCATCAAAGCATCCACTATGGCACAAAGGAATGTTATGGTAGCGTTTCATGAAAGAAGTGATAAAAGAAGAAGAAACGAAATGCCACAATATGCAGAATTGTGATGCACGTTACCTTGAGCTCAAGTCTGGTAGTGTTAGCCTGACATCTGTACGTAGCCAGGAGGAAATTCCCATTAGGCTGCTGGACACAGAATAAGAGAGTCATGCCTCTGGGAGCTGTATGTATGTATGTATGTATGTATGTATGTATGTAATGTATGTATGTAATGTATGTATGTGTATGTATGTGTATGTATGTATGTAATGTATGTATGTGTATGTATGTAATGTATGTAT